AGAAATTATTAAGGTACCAGATTTGGCCCTCAGTCTTTTTTGCACATATAGATACAATTAAATTAAGAAGATTCACAATCTGCTTTATGTATCGTGGCCTGTGCATATGGAGTGCTTTGAAGGAAAATTTCTAACTTATATTTAGTAGGCAATTTTAAGAAAATTGTATAGAAGTATTGAGAGATCAGATTGTATATAGTTGTAGATTGTGGATTAATACAAATTTGATCAAATGTAAAGAAAAGCTGGTAGTGTTTGTCATATATGGGAAAAGCCCTAATGATTAGGAAGTTACAACATCATAGAGGAGCCCCCAAAACCATAGTAAATGACTGGATCAAGGAAGATATTTTATCTCCTAGGGCAGGGGTAGGCAACCTTGGCTCTTTTATGATTCGTTGCTGGCTCAGGAATTCTGGGAGTTGAAATCCACGAGTCATAAAAGAGCCAAGGTTGCCTACCCCTGTCCTAGGGGAATGTTGTTTGTAGTGCAGGTGAAGTTGATATATTTATGCATGCAAGTGGAGGGGGGAGCTGATGTTCTTCTATAAATAGTCCTAATGTGGTATGATCTAGGGACTAGAAGATGAGTTGCTATGGAGACTGATCTGAATCAGATTACCCAAGGTTCCTGTTACCCAGCTTTATATGTATGACATACAATTGTAATTGAACGACTAGTAGGCTATTTCTTGACTGATATATTTAATCATATATTTTTCTCTAGAAAACTGTGCTATGTATGGAAATATTAGTCAAATTCATCTGTAAGCATGGCTGTTGAGGAATGCAGGAGTGCACAGTGGGGTCATTATACTGTGGAGTCATTTTAAAATGTATTAAAAATTGGGGCTGATACTCTCAGAAACGTGCATGTATAGATAACATGCTATAAAGGCAGGGCAAGATATTTTAGAAGACATTGATGATGATGAGACATCTATACTTTTTTTTTTAATCTCCAAAACTTGGTATTTTGTACAGTGAGTCCTCAATTTACAACCACAATTGAGCTCAAAGTTTCTGTTGCTAAGTGAAACAATTGTTAAGTACGTTTTGCCCCATTTTACGACCTTTCTTGCCAGAACTGTTAAGTGAATCGCTGTAGTTGTTAAGTTAGTCACATGGTTGTTAAGTGAATCTGGCTTCTCCATTGACTTTGCTTGTCAAAAGGTTGCAAAAGGGGATCACGTGACTTCGGGACACTGCAAGCGTCATAAATATGAATCAGTTGGGAAGCATCTGAATTTTAATCACGTGATCATAGGGATGCTGCAATGGTTGTAAGTGTGAAAAATGGTCCTAAGTCATTTTTTTTCAGTGCTGTTGTAACTTCGAATGGTCACTAAACAACCTGTTGTAAGTCGAGGACTACCTGTAGTTCATTTACATAGCTTCAACTTGTTTTAGATGTAATAGAGAGTGGCAATATTCAGTATCAAAAGCAGCATTCACAATTATATAAAAAGCTAAGGGCCTAACATTAACATAGAATTTTTAAGATACACAAGGAGAATTTTTCACAATGTTTGTAGTTTGAATCTGGAGCTACAAGTTATATGACAAATAATAAATGTTTTTATTAATTTGTTTCTGTATAATGAAGGACAGTTTTCATGTGGAATAGTTGTAAAATAGAATGAATCAGGTAATAAACTTTAATGCAAAATAATATCTTCCTAGTGAAAGATGTATTGTTTGTCTCTGGTTTAGAAGGAGAACTTTTGTTACTGAAGTATTTAACAACAAATGGACATATAGTTATCCCAAAGGTGCTTTTTCACGAGGCAACTGGACTTTCTTGGGTTTTTTTGAAGACATTTCGCTTCTCATCTAAGAAGCTTCTTCAGCTCTGACTGGATGGTGGGGAATAGAAGGATTTATACTCCTTGCATTTTTTAGAGCAGAGGCCCCCAACCTTTTTGGCACCAGGGACCGGTTTCATGGAAGACAATTTTTCCATGGACTGGGGATGGGATGGCATGGAGGGGGTAGAGGGGGCATTCAGGATGATTCAAATGCATTACATTTATTGAAAATTTTCTAAATAAACGAACAAATAAATAATGCACTTATTTCTATTATTATTATATTGTATTAGATTAGATCAGTGACTTTCTGCTTCTAAGAAAATGGGAAGGAAGAGATAATTCTAAACTCAGCCTTCCAGTAAAACCCAGCATGTTGAAATGTTGAGGAAGTGCTGAGAACACACACACACACACACACACCCCAAAATAAACCACAAAAAATAGGCTGGATGTTGCCAAAACACAAGGCACGTGGAACATCAAAACAAAAGCAAAAAACTCCGGTTGAAGTGCAACGGAGCCCAGCGGTCTTAGAAAAGGTGCAGACGAGAGAGAAGATCCCTTGGAGACGCAGGGCTTAAGGTGAAAGGTAGCTTCTCCCTGCCCCTATTTGCACCCTGACTAAAAGACACCTTCACACACACATATCTTGGGAGAATCACCCTCCAAAAAGGCTTTGGGGAAGCTCCCAGTTTCAAGCTGGGCTGGCGCACCCTTGTCTTGCAAACTTGGAGAGTTGCACGAAGGGCGCGCAAGCTCAGCTGGGGTGCCGGGAGGGGGAGAGGAGGAAAGTGAGGAAGAGGAGGAGGAGGAGGAAGAAGTAGCAGGAGGAGAAGTAGCCAGTTGCAAGTGCAGCTACTGGAGGACCTTTGCACTGAGCAAGACAGTTCCTGCCCAGTCACTCTCCCTCCCCTGCCCAGACCCCTGCAGTCTTGCCTCATGCCTGGAGGTGGAAGACGTGCTTTCAGCGCACCTCCAGCTGCGCGGCCCGATATTGGTGCGCGGACCGGGGTTGGGGAACTCTGTTTTAGAGCGTCGTTGAGGCTATCTGGAGGTTTATCTGTGTCGGGGTCACCTGAGTAGTGCAAATGGGTATGGAGCCTTCTTGGAACTGCTGAAAGGACTGTGTTGTAGACTAGAGAGAGATGATATCGCATCCGTCCCACTCTGTTGAGAGAGGGCTGTTCAATTTTGACACAGATGGCTTCTTTGACCCCTCTTTCAAACCAGCGATCCTCTCTGTCCAAAATGTTTCCAAAAGAATTCAATTTAAAGTAATTGTTAGAGGGCCACAAATTATTGCCAGTACCTCTTCCTCCTAGAGAAATCCATAGCAATATCCATTTTCCCTTCTTTAAGAATAGTTTAATAACTCATAGTAATGAAAACAATTAACATTAAACAAAATAAAATTTAAAAGCCAGCCTTGTCCTGGAGCAGTTTTTACCTTGCAATTATCCAGGGGATTAATACTGTTTCAAGGTGTTTTAAACTAAAAAGTGTATTAGATGTGTGTATTTAATACTGAAGTATTTATGCATTCTTTTTTCTTCTTTACTTCCTCTTTTTGTACTTAACTAGTAAAATATTACCTAATATTAAGGTAAGGAAGCAGACATTTGAGTAACATGATTAAATATTTTGCTATTTGTTTATAATATAATTTTCCATGCCTCCCTCCCGTTTTTTCCCTTTCCCTTTAAAATTATTATCAATATTTTGAGGTTTTATTATAGTAATACTTTTAAATCTCTGTATTTTTCTATTATAATAATTTAGCATTATAATATTTTAAAAACTATGAAAATTATGAGCACAAAAATACTAAGCATTAAAACATAATGCTTACAATTTTAACATTATAAAAACATCTATAGCTAAATTTTGTAATGAATTGAAGTATTCAAACTTAAGTATATGTTACTATTGAACAATCAAATTGGCTACATTTTATTTAAGAATATAAACATGGTTAATATTATTGAGTTCCATCTGTTCCAGTTTTTAGCTGTGTCTTAATAGATATTTTCAGAAACTTTTGTGAATGTAGTGCTCTTATGTCAGAAATTCACATTTCTCTAGGTTGCTTGCTAGATACAAAATATATATTGTCGTGAATGTTTACTGCAAGAGACATTTCAGCCCCTTCTTTACTCCTGGTGGATAGGAAATTTTAAGTCCTTTTAAAATACAAAGGCAGAACTAGAGAAAGAAACATCTTTGAACAGAGTATAAATAGTCCTCAACTTATGACCATGATTGAGCCAGCGATTTTGGTAGTAAGTGGTCACAATCATAAAGCAGGTCACCATATGACCACACCCAATTTTATGACTTTTTTGTGACTGTTGTTAATCAAAATGCAGTGATCGTAAAGCTAACCCATTCGCCATGGGGTGTTTTTTTCCTGGAAACTGGGAGGAAACATTGGTTTCCAGCAAAAATGAACATATGTGACCATAGGAAGTTGCAAGGAACCATAAACGTGAACTGGTTGTCGAGTGCCCAATGAGGGCCACAGGATTGTTGTGATGGGAGGCACGGATGTTTAGACTTTGAATCTGCATGTTAAGGCCTTTTTTCGGGGGGGGGGGTCATTGTAACTTTGAATAGTTGTTAAGTGGTTGGTTGTAAGGACTACCTGTATTAAGGATTTAGAAATGCTTATTGGGTAATGTGCTCCTGAACATAAGCAGAAAGCTGAAATAATTCCTTTTTCATTTAACTAAACATAAGCTAGGTGAGATGCAGACACATAGGTCAAACCTCTTGCCATTTGCTATAAAAGACAAACATGGGCTTGTCAGGACAAAGAAATGAGGAAATCTCCAATGCCAAATTTAGGAAAAGGATGGGATTGCTAGTTATAATTCTGATTAATTTTGGACTTTTCAAAAACTTGGGGAATATGCAGGTAATTGAAAAGAGGAAACTTCTGTTTTCAGTCTTGGATGTAGTTTTCCTTGTTATATTTACCAGATAGACATAAAAGCGGTGAAACTCTGAACAGTGTTTGGCATAGGTTGATGTTTGTAATATCTATCACAAATTGCTCAGATTGTTACTTATTATCAAGTCATTACTGTTGATGAATGCAAATCTAATCTTGAATGGAATATTTCTTACTTGTAGGTTCATGTCGCAATTTCCGGAGGCATTCTCTTTAGCGCACGTACTGGATATTGGACCAATGACAAAGGAATTCATTGAGATGGCATAGTCTAGGAAGCGAGACCATGGTGCAAAAGAAGAAGAGCTGTCCTCGCTTACTTGATTACCTTGTGATTATTGGAGCCAGGTATAGTAAACCGCTAGATGTGCTTGCTTAGAATAAATATACACATATTATCACAATGGTCTGATAAAGGGGTATAGAAAATAGTAAATAGCTGCTGCCATTAATCACCAGCCCAAAGCAAGGTGGGAGGGGGAACATTTATGTTTACTAGTGATGGCACAGTGATTAGAATGCAGTACCGCAGGCTAATTCTGGCCACTGTCAGTCGTTTGATTCTCACTGATTCAAGGTTGACTCAGCCTTCCATCCTTCTGTGGTCGGTAAAATGAGGACCCAGATAGTTGGGGCAATTTGCTGACTCTGTAAACCACTTAGAGAGGGCTGTAAAGCACTATGGAGCGGTATATAAGCTTAAGTGCTATTGCTAGTGAGTATCTTTATAAAGTATCCAAAATAATGGGCGGCATCTACAATATCATAAATGCAAAACCACATTGAATAATGAAGAGTGCCTGATGCAGGTGTCCCAAGTCTCCGTTTATTCATTTATTTCTTAGATTTTTATCCTGCCTTTATTACTTCATAAATAACTCAACAGCAATGCTGTAGGTAGGGTGATCTGAGAGTGAGTGACTGGCCCAAAGTCAACCAGCTGGCTTTCATGCCTACAGCAGGACTGCCTCCCACATATGTCTGCAAGCTTTGGATATTGCTTGACATCACAAGACTTGATATGAATGCTAGTATGCCAAGATCTCTGCCTTTCTTCTGATGGAAACATTAAAAATAATCTGGAAAAACTTCATTATAAACAACATTTAGATGATGTAATATAGACGGTGAACTTAGTCCATTTGATTACTAACAAGTAACCAATGCAATGTATACCTTGGAATAAGAATTAAATAAAATTATCTAACAAAGGGAAAAGATGCGTGTGAAATATTTCTGAGTTACTGTGGAGTCTATGATTGCAAGCAAGGTACAGAAGAAAAGGTGGTCTGCAACGTGCATATCTCTTTTTAATACCAACATTGGCAATGATAGCAGTGCAATAGCATATTGTCCAACTGCTGTGACATAAACTTTCTCTACCTCCCTTATAGGAAAACAATATTGAATCTGTTTTTCCATCTTATGATGGTGGAGAGAAGGTAGTTAAGTGGGTGTTTTAGGGGGGAAAATGTTGGAGAGTAAGATCACCCACATTCCATCTGTTCCTCTTTCATTGCTGGTGGCAGCCTCCAACAGTTGCTTTTCACTAAAAAACAAGCGGAGTAAGGAATTTACATAGTTTTATAACACGTGGCTTGCTCCCTTATTTACTTTTTAGCAGGATTTTTGTAATTGGTAATATTACTTGCTGTAATTTATATATTTATTCATTTGTTCCATTGTCAATTCCAACTGTCTCTGGACAATTTGTAATATAAACCATGATAAACATTCTCCTCAAAACCAAGATGGAATTTAGCAATTCTATACAGCATTACAAAAAGTAACAAAAACACAACCGACAAGGGGCCCTATCCATCTCAACCCAAGGCATGGGGGGACTACCGGGACTGTAAGGTTTTACAGAAAGCCAATGACATGCATTAAGCTTAAATTGTAGTTTTAATTAGTTGTTCAGTTACTATTTGAAGTTTATAATCTATATGGGTAGTAATTTAAATATTTTCTCAAGCAATTACTGTGGTATAATTAAAAGCTTATGTTGTGAGCTTTGGTCTCTTTGATTTTGATTTGAATTTCAGTTTATCTATTAATTCACTTAACTAATTAATGCATCATTCTCTTTTACTGAAAGCTGTCCTTTCCCACCCTGACTTTCTTACGTGGAAGTAAAAATAATGATTATCTTCTTACAATTGAATTGCATATATAAAACCAGTTTGTAACACTATCCAGGTAGTCTCACTATTGCCTCTTTTTCCTTGGCAAAAAATAGATCCATTTTGTTACTAACCATAAATTTCTTGTTTCTTGTTTTAAGCATCTAATTTTCCATTTAGGCTCTGCAGTCAGTTATTATAACTGCATCATTTTTTTTAGTTATTATGGTGTGATATATATATCAATCATAAGAGTATATTTTCGCTATTCTGTCCAAACCTGTCAGGATTCATAAACTCTCTTTGACATATTGCTGGTCAGGAAGATTAGTCATTTCTCTTCCTTCTGCAACCCCAGGATAGACTCCAACCTACAACCTCCATTTGCAGAAGAAAAAAAAGTTCCATGGTATTTGTGGTGTTTCCATTGGGAAGATGTGCATCAGTGTGGCATTTTTACCTTAGTAATATATATTTCAGTATTTTTATATTTGTATTCCTGTAGGCAACCAAGCAGTGATAGTGTGGCACAGACACCTGAACTACTGCGCCGTTACCCCCTGGAAGACCACACTGATTTCCCACTGCCTCCAGATGTAGTCTTTTTCTGCCAGCCGGAAGGATGCTTAAGCGTGCGGCAGAAGCGGATGAGCTTGAGAGATGATACTTCCTTTGTCTTCATGCTCACAGATAAAGATTCAGGCATCACTCGCTATGGGATATGCGTTAACTTCTATCGGTCCTTCCAGAAGCGTATTTCCAAGGAGAAGGGTGAAGGCAGTGGTGGACATCGTGTCCGAGATGGACAGAAGGCACCCAAATCTGGGGATGCTTCCACTGTGCAAGAAGAAAGAGCTAATGAAAGTTTGGAGAGCAGTGTCTCTCTGCAGCCACAGAGCACAGAGTCAGTTCCTGATACAAACCGATCGCCTCGGAGTAAACCATCAGCAAAAGGCACTCATCGTTCTCGTAACAGTACCTTGACCTCACTCTGCATTCTTAGTCACTATCCCTTTTTTTCTACCTTTCGTGAATGTCTGTACACTCTGAAGAAGCTGGTGGACTGCTGCAGTGAAAGGCTCTTAGGCAAGAAGCTGGCAATCCCTCGAGGAGTGCAGAGGTATAGATGGAGTGGTTTTTTTTTTCCTTGATTCCAAATCTAAATGATAAAATGGAGTATAAAATCTGCTCCATATAACCGGCCATTTTCCTAACAAAATAAGAATGACTTAAGATTCCCTGCTCTTTTCATGTGAGAATGTATAGGCTGCATGAAGATCACAGAATCTATGGAGGGAGTTTGTTGGTATAGTTGTAAAACATTTTTATACCATAAACTGTCACTTATTTTCTAAAGACACAGTTTCTATTGCTTAAATAGTATGCCAAAATTAAAATCTTGATATTTTTCTTCTTTTTTCTTCTTTTTTTGGGTTGAAGTTGTAAATTAAAATTAATTATTAACAATTATTAATTAAATTAATTATTAAATTAATAATTTAAAAGCCTGATAATATAAGAAAAGGTAAATTAGGTAAACAATTTACATGCCTGTTTTCTCCTTTCATTACATTTTTCTCTTCTCTTGGCTAATCCGTAACCTCAAAACTTTCCACAAGATTCATACACAGCTAAAGGAGTAAAACTTCCTCTTCACAGACTTCGGTACTCCAAAGACTTTATATAGGACTATAGGCTAGACAAGAAAGTTGAAAAAGGAATCAAGAGGAGAATGTAATGGAAAACCACTTCCATATGGGTTCTAGGAATACCATATGGATATATGTATAACTCAATGTTATAAGGACTCAAGCTTTATCCATGGTCTAGGTAGCTTTCATATATTTCAGACTCAAAAACTATTCAAGGCTTTAGAAGTCAAAACCAGCCCCTTGAATTGGATTTGGACACAAAATGGCAGCCATTGAAGCTGTATAGAATTGTGTGTCATGTTCTGACTTTCTAACTCCAACTGGAATGTCCAAATGCTGCATCTGTTTATTGAAAAGATTCTGAGATTTGATTACAAAGTTAGACATGAGAATTTTTGTGATTCCCCCCAAAATGTTCTGATCTTAGAATCTTGATTTCTTTAAGATACATGCATGAATACCATGCCAAAAATGTATGCATGGTACAGTATTCAATTATTTCCTTCTGTGAGCTTTGATAATACTGTAAAGGATAATATGTAAGGATAATAATAAGAAAAGAAGCACGAATGGAAGCCTTTTCAAGCAAACTGAAGGGAAATACATAAAATTAGTAGACCTAAACATACAATATTCAGATGATTTTGGACACTGATTTCTGTAATAGGTCTGCCACAATGGCTCTTTTAATTCTACTTTGGATTTCAGTAAAATGATACTGCTTTCTGCTTTTCAGATGCATAAGAATACTGTGTTACTTAAAATGTATTTATAAAATATTATTGTGTGTTATTTATCTAAAGTATTCTGATGGCTGTACAGTAAAAAATCCCGCAGTATGAGTCTATGAAACCTGGTTGATTCCAAGAGTGACTTCATGCCTTACTAGTTTGAGCCTTGATTGCTTTCATCCTCAATGTAAAAAGATAATATTGCATGTTATAAGAGAACTATTTATTTATAACTAGCTTATAATTTTGATTTATAAGATTGCTGAATTAATCAGTGACTGAATTTTTAAAAAGTTTATAGAATTATATTTCCAGAATGTTATTAGCATGTCGTTTTAGCCCTGCTCTCTGTCTTTTCATAGTCTGAAAACAGATTGGGAGAATGTAATATACATAATTTGAAATGTATACTTCCAAGTCTGATCTTCCCCCACCACCAACCATGTGTATATATACTCATCCACCTCCTCAACCATGTATATACTTATTGCATGGCACAATGCTACACAGTGCCTAAAACTGATAATAAAACAGATTGTACATTATAAATAATTTTACAATTGCTTTTTATATAGTAATCTTTTGGGTTTAGAGTAACGTATGAACTGGCCCATTATGGCTCAATGCTATATATGCAGCATGCCATGATGACTTGTTCAGAAAACCATGGTTGGTCTTTTGATTAAATATTATGTGTGTATGTAGTCTAAAGTGTCAAAAAGCATCTTCTGAATCTTTATTGTTCTCTTGGAACAAAGACTTAGCCTAATGTCTTTTGCAGGATTTTCAGTAGAACTGCTAAAGTATTAATCCTATCATTTTTATAAAGGGACACCATGTGGCGGATTTTCACAGGCTCACTGCTTGTGGAGGAGAAATCTAGTGCTTTGTTACATGATTTGCGTGAAACCGAGGCTTGGATTTATCGGCTTCTTCGCTCACCTGTGCCAGTTGCTGGCCAGAAGCGTGTGGATGTGGAAGTCTTACCTCATGAATTGCAGCCAGCTTTGACGTTTGCCCTCCCTGACCCTTCCCGCTTTTCTCTGGTGGATTTCCCTTTGCATTTGCCCTTGGAGCTGCTAGGTGTGGATGCCTGCTTGCAAGTACTCTCCTGCATTCTTCTGGAACATAAGGTGAGAGGAAAACGCGGCCGATTCATTGTTAGGTAATTTAGCAGTGAGAACTGCATTGTCTTTTCACAATGTTTCAGTAGTGCTTTAAGCATGGAGGATTGTGTAGATTGGTCACAATCAGTAATTTCCTAGTATTGTCCTCGAAGGGATAAAGGGTATGTCCTTCATAATTGTATCTTTTTGTGTAAAATAGCATTTAATTAAAGAAGCAGCACTGGGATGAAAATAGAACTGAGTAGCATATAAGAAAATGTTAGAATTTTGTTTTATTGTTGCACTAATGCAATTTTCTTTGGCTTCAGGTAGTACTGCAGTCTCGCGATTACAATGCTCTATCCATGTCTGTGATGGCATTTGTGTCTATGATCTATCCATTGGAATACATGTTCCCCGTGATTCCTCTCCTTCCTACCTGCATGGCTTCTGCAGAACAGGTATATCAATGGTTGTGTTAGGACAGCCCAGCCATGACTCAACTAAAGACTTTCCTTAGAGCCCATATGTGTATCTGTGTTTTTTTCCCCCAATGTATTGTTGACCTGTTACTGAAATCTTCAGTTTATTTTTTTTTTCTTGCCCTTGGGAAGAATTAAGAATGTTTAAATTCTTTCGTTCTACATATTTATATAAGTTGCTTTAAACAATGAGTGTTTTACATTACACTTACATTACTTCCGATATACCTTCTTCCAAAATACAGTATATATACATTAGTATCTAGGCCTTGCATGGCTTCTCCAGTTTTGTTCTTATCTGACTTTTATTAATATTTTCTGCCCATTACAGCTACTTCTAGCCCCAACACCTTATATTATTGGAGTCCCAGCAAGCTTCTTCCTTTATAAACTAGACTTTAAAATGCCAGATGATGTATGGCTGGTGGATCTAGACACCAACAAGGTAACTAGTTCCTGTTTATGTGTTAAATGTAATTTAGAGAAGTATTTAGGGGCATAGGTAGTCCTTGAGTTATATACACAATTGGAACTGGGATTTCTGTCACAAAGTGATGTGGTCATTAAGCAAGTTGTTTTGTGACCCGACCCAATTTTATGACCATTTTTATCATGGTTGTTAAGTGAATCATATTGTTAAGTAAATCACATGGTTGTTGCAAATCCTACTTCCCTGATTGACTTCACTGATCAGAAGCTGGCTTGGAAGGTTGCAAATCATGTGACTGCAAGATGCTGCAATTGTCATAAATGCAAATCTATTGTGAAGTGCCCAAACAGCAATCACAGGACTGTGAGGATAATGTGATGGTTGTAATTTTGAGGACAGGTCATAAGTCAGTATTATGATTTCTGTAATTCCACATTCCTTTTACTAACACAGATACCTGCTCCCTCCTGCTTCTAAAACCACTTAATTTCCTGATCACCAATATTTGATGGAATATTTGGTTCTCTTTGTCACACTGATTTGGAGCATAGGTTCCTGTACATTAGCTGTTAATTGAGCTTGTTTCTATGATACATAAAAGAAATCCATTCAAGCGATTTCCTTGGTGCAATGTTATTTTTAAATGTTAATTTCAGGTCATTGTTCCTACAAATGCCGAATTACTGCCGAATTTGCCAGAACCAGAAATTTTAGAACTGAAAAAGCATCTGAAGCAGGTAAGTTAATGTTCTGGTGAGTATGGCTAAGAGGAGTTTAAAACTAAGATGAGAGTGTTGGGACAACAGAAACTTGAATCAAAGCTTAAGAGGTCCAGGCTCAAAGTTGGTCATAATTCCACAATCATCATTTTACCACTTGTGAAGGAGAATCTCTGTAAGCATCAGAGGTTATTTTGGAGAAAATTTGTATTGAAATATATTGCTATTGTATTAGAACAAGGAGGCTCTGGCTACTTATTGATGTTCCTTCTAATTTCTGATCCCTAAATGAACAGTTACTTCAGAAAATAGCTTGACTTGAACTGATTCTGGAATGTAGAAAATGTATTTAGAGGAGGATATGAGAAACCCTGGTTCTTGTCAGATTTGGAAGAAACATCTTATGTAATAATTTTCTTCCTTCCCTTTAATATCTCCTAATTTTCACAAAATAGCAATTGCCTCCCCCTCACCAAGAATCAGTTTGTTTTATGTTGCTTGTTTCATGAAGGTTACACAGACTTGTTTTTTCTGTGAATTACGTTCGAGATATATATTGTGCCTTCTTTTGAAGTCAGAATATGTGGGAATTTGAAGAGAGAAAACCAGTAGGAAAGGCTTTGGATCAAGACTAAGAGCAATCACTTGTAGAATGTAACAATCATATTAATAATTAATAATTGATTATTATTTTTAAAAAACCTCAGAATTAGATTGGTCAGCTGTAAAACATTTGGTGAGCTAGTAATGTTTCCACCCCCCCCCCAGTGCTCCCCTGGATTGTATTTGGATGAGGAAAAAAATATAGTTGAAAAAGGGCTGTATGTCCAAAGCACATTGGGTAACCATCATAACATTTTGTTAAGACAGTAAAACAACTTCTGCTTTTTTCAGCTTGTCCCATTTCTGCCTATTACCTGTCATTTCACCATTCTTTATTAATTTACTCCTATACGTATGGAGCAATCTTATGGATATTTATTTATACAATTGATTTATGATGATGTTTCCAGTAATGGTATATTAAGCTTCAGAGTAAAAAATGTGTACCCTAGAAAGGTATAATATATGGACCATAAAATGAAAATTGTGGTCAAACATATTGTTAAACTACAATTGATCATCAGGCCAATCTTAGAATTGTCTTCTATTTTAGATTGCCTACAGTTTAGCTTGTTATTCAGATTCAAAGTGTGTTTAATAATAACAATGGTTCATTGAAAAAAGCCACATTTATAAAGTGTGGATTAAATGTAGTTTATTTAAGATTAACCACAATTTTGAGTTTGGTAGTACTAGCACTCAACTATACTTTAATATTGTACAGCCCTAATAAGTCATATATATGGTGATAAAAATTGAATTTCTTTACTGAGGCTTGGAGTTTTATGTGAGATCTATTCATACACATGACAATCTTGACGTGGTCATGAAGCTTTGAAATCATCTTGAATTGCTATTGTTGAATTGTTATCAGTGTGTATGCCTCAAACTGCATTAGACTATGGTTTATCATATCCTTACTCCACCTTCATTTTGATAAGCTACATCTGACATGGTCAAACTCTGTGGACTATTTATATCATTCAGAACCACATAAAAGACTTTGCCATTCTATTTAAAATGGTTTTATAAATCCAACTTTGACTTTAATAACTGCAGAAAGCTTATTCTTTTGTTCCTACCCCTCCCACTCATTGTATGCCTTAAACATTTTAATTTTTCTATGACTTGTTTTCCCATTGTACATCATTAATTTTCTATTTCTATTCACATAGTTGCCAATGAAATCCACACTTTTCTTTCCAGTTTTTTTATTATATTTCATAATAGAGGTTTTATGACTTCTGTATTTCTCTTCCCCATTGCTCTTTTATTGTTCCTCTTTGCATGTTGCATGCAATATATACAGGTAAAGCGTTACAGCAGCAGGTCAAAAGCTACTGCTTCTGTCTCTCATAGAAGAGCAGGACTATATGTGATTTCTTGTGTAAGCTAATGCAACAAACCAACAGGCAGTAGAATCTGCAATCTCTCTTTCTGATCTGTTTGGTTTTCTGTTTCCACAGTTTAAGGGGCTGTTGGCCACATTCCCACACACCTGAACAAATATGAATAAAATAAAAATGTGCATTTTGTTCTAGCAGACAGAAAACACAATCTTATTTTTTATGGAATAAGTTAAGGCAAGAAGGAAAAAATGTTTAATGATGGTAAGGAATCTAGGCAACAAACATACGTGAATACTTATGTAAAATACTTACAAAGATTTATACAGCCCATTTATAGCAGTCACAACATCAGATGTCAGTGTATTGTTAAAATGCATGTGGCGCATCAATTTAGTAGCCTTCAGTACTTTTTAAGGGAAAATGTTTGCAAACAGGTGTATGGGAGCAAAGTAGCCTGGCCTCCTTCAAGAACTGTGCTTTTTATTTTTATTTATTTTTATTTATTTTCTCATCTGTGGTATTAGTAATAATAGATTTTTCTCCATCTGTCTCTATGTGATCATGTATTCGTCTTTGGCTCTGATTGTCGCTGATGTTGTCATGTGATCTTCCATCTTGCCTCCAGACTCTGATTAGCATGTCTGCAATCACTCGGCAACAACTGCTCACGCCTGAAAAAAAGGTGTCTTTATTTTACCTTTTTCTCCCTCAAGTTGCCATTGGATAATTTTTTTGTTAGTCTATTTTGATGTATTGGCTTTTGGAAAGAAAGGGAATTTTGGTGGAAGATATCAGTAGAAGTCGATGAACTACAAAAAAAAGATAAATAAAAGAAATTTACATGGCTTGAGGGTAGGCCACCTTCTCCTCCAAAGAAGCCGAAATTGAGAAAAGTCTAGTGTACAATCTGGAGAACTAAAATGTTTGGGTTTTTTTTGTATGTTCAACATGTTAAACTAAGATAAAGATACTTGTTTTGTGAATATTACAAATGTCATATGTGAAGTGCTTCTTCAGAAGCCAGAAGAGTTGATGAAATCAAAACTGTTGAAAACTTAAGTCTTCTAGGAATCTGGGCTTCCATACTAATTGTATAGTGAAGAATGCATTAACTCTGCTCCTTTTATATGGCATAGAGGGCAAAATTGGAATCTCAGAACAAATTGGCTGAGTTGGGAATTCAGAACAAGAAATAACTACCCCATAATGTGAATCTGTATTAATACTAATGTGTATTAATCTATTTAATGCATTTGTGTATCATCCTTCATAAAAACATGTTCTAAGGTGATTTCTAATGTTTAAAATAAAAATAGTAATAAAATATACATTAATAATACATATGTTTGTATCAAAGTCATTAGAGCTTATGCCATTAAAACAAACAATATTTATTTGTTTGTCAAATTTCTAAACTGCCCATCTCATCTAAGTGACTCTTGAATATAATTAAAATGCTTTGAAAGGAAAAACTTTATAATCAATTAAGCAGAGGAAGGATTAAGTTTATTCTTATTTGCATAAAAAAGATGAAAGAGATCTCAGATGATCCCAGGGTATATTGGAACATCACACTCAGTTTGTGTTTGCCCATGAGACAGAGCTGTATTAGAAATGCCATTTTCGTTTATTATGTTTGTAACATATTGCTCTTCAGGCTTTGGCCAGCATGAGTTTGAATACCCAGCCTATTCTTAACCTAGAAAAGTTTCATGAAAGTCAAGAAATCCCATTGCTTCTGGGAAGACCGCAGAATGACCCGCAATCCACACCGTCCACAGAGTTCAACCCACTAATCTATGGCAATGATGTAGATTCAGTGGATGTAGCCACTAGGTGAGATGAAGCATTGTGTTTTTGCTGAATGTAAACAATGAACTTCCAGTTAGGTGGGAAGAGTCAATGCTCCACTTGGCAACACATGATAAGCAAAATTATGTTACCTTCTGACAATGTACATTGCTTATCTATGAATATTCAGATAAATTTATTGTAACAGTGTGATCTTCTCTTGATGATCTATAGTACTAAGGAGTATAGTTAAGGAGTATAGTTAATACATTGCTGATAGATAGATAGATAGATAGATAGATAGATAGATAGATAGATAGATAGATAGATAAACTTCATTTGGGCACAATGGCACACATTAAAAATGAAATTTAGTTGCTTGCTCTCGAAGTGTACACATATATAACACACATTTAAACATACTATATACAACATATGTATAGATCTACACCTTTACATATAAGTAAACATATAAATATTAATCACTGTCCATCTTGAATACATAACAGAAGGAGGAAGCTTTAGAGTTCAATAGTTTGTGCATAAGCTGTTATCTGACTTCTGTGAAATGTGGCTACCTCGTAAAAGTTTATGAAACTTCCTTCAGATGCCTTGATTTAAGATATTAAAATAGTATATATTTATATAGTATATTCTGGGCTCTTCAAAGAAAATTACAAATGATACTGGCATTTTAGGACAGCCATATTAGCTTATGTTAACCAAAATTCAGGAGTAGTCTGATAGCACTTTTTCAGACCAGCAAATCTTGCTAAACAACCTAAGCTTTTGTGAACTGCAGCTCACTTCATAATTTTGTTTTAGAAAAAGTGGGCAATATCTTGAACATAGCATGTTGAGGGTTGAGAAGTGCTTCTGATGTGCTGATATCCTTGGAATAGATAGAATCAATTTAGAATCAATTTAGTGATTGTTAGCGTGAACAAACGTATTCATTTGCTTTTTCCTTATTGGAGATGCATCATCAGTTATTTTTTGGTGATTCATGAATGCGCTGTGCATTTTCAGTTTTCACGCTATTTGCTAAATGACTTATCTTTCCATTTTTAAAGGGTTGCTATGGTGAGATTCTTCAATTCACCAAATGTTTTACAAGGATTCCAGATGCATACCCGCACACTTCGTCTCTTCCCCCGGCCTGTGGTTGCATTTCAGGCTAATTCCTTTTTAGCTTCACGACCAAAACAAACACCCTTTGCAGAAAAATTGTCCAAGACACAGGCGGTAGAATACTTTGGGGAGTGGTCTCTCAATCCCACTAATTATGCTTTCCAAAGAATCCACAACAGTAAGTGTGATAATGAATTGTTGACCGTCTTGATTTTCATGTGGGATGTTCCAATACAAAATATTGCTGAGAAATTAACTAACCACTATGTTTTAAGATTTTATCTTAGGAACAAATAAGATTTGTTCAGTATAAGAACTTGTTTTCCCAATAAAAATCAGAAATGCTTGTTATTCTCCATATTTTGTCTGAGTTTTTAGACATTAATGTAGCTCCTGTAACTCTATAAGGCAAATCAATTGTTTCTTGCTGCTTTTATAGATATGTTTGACCCAGCTCTGATTGGTGATAAGCCAAAGTGGTATGCTCATCAACTGCAGCCAATCCATTATCGTGTCTATGACAGCAATTCTCAGCTAGCTGAAGCAATGAATGTCCCAGCTGATAGAGAAACAGATTCAGATCCTACTGATGATAGGTTAGTAAAGAATGGAATGCACTGGATGCAACCAATCTTCAGTGAACTTTGTAATTCTTTGTAAGATTTTTTTTTCTTTATGTGTCTCCAGCATCAGTTTCCAGGATACATTGCAGATAATTTAAACAAATATCATTAAAAATATAGCTCAAACAACTAAAAAGTATCAAATCCAGAACTCTTGAAAAGCCTTTTAAAGCTTGGGAAGATTAAAAAATTTGCCTGGCTCCAAAAACATACATCTACTGGGAACTATTACTGCACTCTTTGTGATCATTCTGGCTTCCATTTTTCCCATAATTTTGCTTTTGTTTTGTAAAATGAGTTTTCCAAATATATGACTCATTTATAGGATAAAACGATAAACTCTTGACATGACAGTAAAGCCAATCAGGCACTCTTTGAGGGTTGATTACAAAATTTCCCCACTTTTTGTATCAGGCAATCATAGAGAAGAGATGGAGGCAGTGACCACAGTTATGCACTGGAACAAGTATGATTTCAGTAGCCTTATGTTAGTTAAGTGTCAAAACATCAGGAATTTCTCAAGGTTACAAGGTATGAGAGAACAATTCAGGAAAGTCAGTGCCGAATAGATACTACAAATCTGGAATCAATTGTATTATATTTTTAATGCTTAAAAGAATGACAACATAGAAGCTATGATAAAAAAATATTGAAAACCACCATGGATTGTTTTAAGTTTGCTTCTGTAAGGCAGACCCAGAGAAAAGGCTGGTGGCAACGGAAGTCGATTGATTCTTTGGAAAGTGAATAGCTTCGCCAAGAGAGTTAACTATTCAGACAGAAGAGAAAAGTTATTTTTTTACTTTTTGTTTCTGGAGGAATATAGCATGAGGTTATGTGGCCTTTGGAAACAGCTCTTAAAGATGCAGAAAGCTCCCTGGCCATCTATGTCCTTATTTGGTTAAGTAGTGAACATGGTTATCATGCTCACACTTCCTGAGAATTGCCAATTTGAAAAATGTACTTGCACATCAGTAGTTTTGGCAAATAAGTTCTCCAAAAATGTAGTAGTTGCATATAATAGCTTCCTATTTAGGGGATTCCATCCTTATCTGACACTGCTTGATAAATTGAAGATGCTTTCAGGACACAGGAGAAAATGTTATTTTCTATTCTCTTGAGTTGTCCTGGGCATTCCTCTTTTCTCTCTCTTGCTTGCAGAATTGGAATATGTTTTCTACCTGTGCCATACATGTGACAGTGATTTATATTAGGAATTCTTCCACTGTTTCCTTTTATCACTGGGGTTTCTTCTTACTGCCTGTTTATTCCCACACAATTTTTAATTTTGCCATAGAACTTAGTTTTGCTCATCCTTTTCAGTGGTTTCCATTGTCATGGGGTTGAGAAAAACCTGCTCTTCAGTTGGTCTGGAAGGCAGGACAGATCCTCCTACTGCAGTGATAATTCAAGGCTGAAACTTGGCTATTAGTGGCAGGAAGAGATACCTAGCCAAAGAAAGAGTGCTCTCTATATAACTAAGGGTATAAAAATTCATGGTAAAAAAAATTCTGCTAAATCTCTTATGTAATTATTTTTCTACTTTTTTTTTCTCTTTGCCATAGTGGGAGTGATAGTGTGGACTATGATGACTCCAGCTCTTCTTATTCATCCCTTGGTGACTTTGTTAGTGAAATGATGAAATGTGATATCAATGGTGATACTCCAAGTAAGTATCCTTGATCTGTAATGTGTTTGTTCTGGATATAGTTATGGGGTTTAGGCTGATTTCATTGCTTTGAAAGAAACCTTTCACCTCAGCGACCAACTGGAATCTTGCCAGGATTATGGAGAGTATTTTGTTTCTTTGTTGTATTTATTTTGCTTGGAGAAGAATGGAACGGAATGGAATAATAGAATAACGGAGAGTAAGGATTGGAAGGGATCTTAGAGATTTAGGTTAATTCCCTGCCCACTGCAGAAATCTATTACTGTAGCATCACTGACAGATAGCCACTCATCGTTTAAATGAACACTTCCAGTGAAAAAGAGCCTTATATATCCCAAGGAGATCTTTTTCATTACTGAATAGCTTTTACTGTTTCAAAATGTTTCCTAATGTCTAATCAGAATCTGAATCTTTATTATTTAAATCATTGTTCTTTGTTTGTCTTCTGGAGCAATTTTGAAAAAGCCTGCTATATTTTTTTCTTTGCAATCTTCAAGTACTTGAAGAGAGTTATCACGTCTCCTCACAGTCTTTTCTTCTCCAGACCTCTAACTTACAATATTCTTCTTCTAAAACTCTTATTATCCATACTCCAGTTTGTTAATGTATTTGCTAAAATGTGCCTAGAACTGGAGATAATATTCCAGATGTGGTCTCACCAATACAGAATGCAAAGAATTAAATGTCTATATGTAAACATGTAATGTCCAAATCAACAAAGTACATTATAGTCATTGTGCTTTAAAAACACAGTATTATTTGGTATGCTGTGTGAATCCAGCCAGTTTATTCAGCAAAACTTGATTAAATTAACGTTCATGTTCTATTGATTAGGAATGCCAGTATGTAAGGCCAACAGTCATTCTTGAAAATAAAAATTATGCGGGAGGCTAATATTACGTTCTGCAGTTTATGTGTAGCATCTTTTTTTCCTTATAAAGCTGAAGTTTGTGACTTGCTTCAAACAATATTTTCTATACTTCTACAGATAACGTTACCTCCAGAAATATCCTTTAGCAACTCTGTCTAAAATCAGTTACCTCAGATTCTGATTGGCTTCTTTATTTATTCGCAATCATACTTTCTTCATACCCAGATTAAGTTTCATCTCATTCCATTCCAAAATGTTAAGCATACATTTATTTAGGAATTCCACACATTGTGATTCATGGGAAAAAGAAGAATGTAAATTATCTACACATTTTTATCTACTATTCAGATGGAATCTGTCTTCCTATAATTTTAATAATTTAATGAGTAATTTTCTTGAATTGCTTGTTGACTCGGCCACTGTAGATTTGTGTCTATATATTCTAATGTCTCTTGCAGATGTGGACCCACTAACTCATGCAGCTTTGGGTGATGCAAGTGAAGTGGAGTTTGATGATTTCCAGGAGTACTCAGCAGATATGGATGAACAGGCTCCAGACAGTGAGAATTCTCAAGATAATAACCAACCTCGGTCAAGTTCAAGCACTACAGCCAGCAGTAGTCCTAGCACTGTTATCCATGGGGTGAATCATGTATGTAATGGAGTAGATGGTAAAAGAAACATAAGGCATTTAAAGGAGCAAATAATTATAATTCTGAAAGTTTAAGTAGTAGTCAGTGGTATGTCTAGTAACTTTCTGCTGAAATGGGATACTGGAATTTCAATATTCATCACGGGCTCTTAGAAAACTGTTTCTTGTTTATAATTTCAAGAAATTACTGCCTTTCATCAGTCTGCAATTATTCATCAGTCGCTGGAGCTTTAGAGGAAAAAGTCCTTACTAACTGCCATATCATTAGATATGCAAACAAATATTTTAAAAAATGAAAAAGGGTTTGCAAGCCATAGGAACTGCATAAAAATAAAGAAAAAGCAGGGAATTATCTGGATTCAGTTTTTAAAATCCTAATAGCAGGAGATTGCAGAACATTATGAGATGAGAGAACCGATTTGTGGTTTTGGCGTCAGGCTAGAAACTGGGAGACCGTAAGCTCTGATCTTGCCTTTTAGGCGTGAAGCCAGTTAGATGATCTTGGGCCAGTCATTCTCTGTCAGCCCTAGGAAAGAGGGCAAACCACTTCTGAAAATTTTGCCGAGAAAACTAGGCCAGGTGACAGAACAGTCACTTAGGTCAGATGGCCAATGTAAACATTTGATTAACAAAAGAAATAAATATTAATTCAAAGGCACAATAATAAAAAATGAAATTTACAGGAATTTATCGTTAGGCATATAGGAAAGGTTTCCACGGTACTTCTGTTTGGTTGAATGTACCCTTTGCTTGAGGATTGAACTACGTGGTCTTAAAATGCAATAAATAAATGATTAAAAAAATCAAGCTACATGTTTAACTGAAAGGTACAAACTACTTTCAGCATTTGAAAGATTGTAATAATTTTAGTTGGTTTTACTTAAACCACTTTACTTAAAATTCAGGATATCACTGAGCCAGGATAGTGATTAAAAATGAGTAGAAATATTTGAGACAGTGTTAGAAATGCTAGAAATTGAATGAACATTGTAATATAATACCAGCAAAGTTTATTCTTATATGCTCTATTTAGTAAACTCAACAATCACAAACTGAACTGTGGCACAGCTATCCAGAATAGTTCAAG